TCTGCGGTAACATTTCCATGCACACGGTGTTTTTAGCAAGTTTTTTCATGAGCAGCAATAAAGCTATCTGAGATCAAAACATGTAAGGAAAAAAGTGGTTTGATTTTAATTCACAGACCTGGGCAGAAGGGAGTATGGAAGACGTAAAAATAGACTCATGTCTTAATTGTACACTGTACCTTTTGGATTAAATCCTCTAGGTATCAAACCAAAAGCCTCCATCTCAGGGACCTCATTTTCTTCATCATTGGAGTTGTTTGGTGGGAGGGCTCTTCTCCCATTCAGAGGAGGTTTCTTCTTCTCTTCATTGGTGTTTGTTGTTTCAGACATCCTGTATGAAAAATGTTGTAATACCATGAAAGAAAGAAAGAGTGCAAGGAAAAAGCAAACATGAGCCAGCGTGGCACATGTAAGATGGGAGAAACCAAAAACGGTGTGGGGTGCCAGCGAGCTACACATTTTTAGACTCACATAAATAAAAACTGAGAGGCACAAAACATCAGTCTAATGATGGAGTGCAGCTCTCTAAGGATTGGAAGGCATTTTGTGTTTGTCAAAACACATGAATAAGAGAAGAAGGGGGGTGGGAGAAGAAGAGGGAAGCATAACACAGAAGTATTTGCCTAGGAGAAACAGAGCATTAAAAACATTAGGGAGTTTCAGGTAAAAGAACTAGAAAATCACTCACTCTCCCACCCTCCAAAACAGCATTATTGAATCCAAAATAGCAAATTATATCTTCAGAAAGTGCACCACACACTACCTCCCCCTAATAAAAATGACATTCTAAGTTATACTGCAATCATGCCAAATACTACAGCCTACAACAGTCTGTGGATGATTACTGGAGAATTGTGCTTTTGTCCCTATGCACACAAATACCCAAAGGGCTAACTCTTGTACCCAGAAAATCTGCTTTTGAGAAAGACAGGGAGAGAAAAAAAAAAGGGGGGGGGGGGGGGGAAAGGGACAAAAAAAAATAGAAAAAAAGCACTTATCCACTTATTTCTCTCCCACTAATGACCTTAAGGGAAATCTCAGATGTAGGCTGATCAGAGACTTCTCTTTGAGCTAGTCAAAACTGCTTTTGCATCTATTTCAGTGTAAGCATGTAGCAATGAAAAAGTCATGCCATCTTTCTAAGAAAATATTCATGGCTGAGAACACTTCTTCCCAAAGCTCCTGAAAACAGCAATTCAAAATGTAGCAATTATTTAATAGCAGCAAGCTCTTAAAGGAAGGTTTTTAGTTAACAAGGGTACCTTCTTTTCAGATAGTCTTTTTTTTTTTCTTCTCCCTTGCAGAATTTCTGAAGTGCGATAGAAGCCTGGAAAAAGTTGGGGGCTTTTAAGTAACCTCTGTATATCCTCCTCCCTCCTGTTGCAATAGGACAGTGCTGAAAGGGTTGCCAAGCCCCCCCCACATCACCTCCAAGGATCTGCCACTACTGCTGACATGTCTTTGCTTACTCCCTCCCTCTCTCTGCCTGTCTCACCCCAACCCCACTCACCAGGAGCATTTCAGGGTGCTTGGGCTAAGGAAACAGTTTGGGCACTGAAGTTTCAGTTCTTAGTGAGATGGAGTAGAGCTGCTCATGGCACAAGGGCAGATAAAGTGGGAGACTGGAGGGGATCTTCTGAGGGACACATCCCAATAAGCTGTGCTCACCATGTTGCCAGTCTTTAATGGTGTCTCTACCTCACGGTGCCTGCAATTCAACTTCAGGTGCTGGTTTTCAGAGTACTCCCAGGCAGACACAGCAACAGTTCCCCTGCCTGGTGCCTCACAGCAGTCCTTTCAGATGACTGTGGGGAACATGGACATGGAGAGCTCATTGGTGGCCCAGCAGAGAGGACCTTTTTCTCAAGACCCTGTGCAGTTCAGGAGAGTGAAGATATTTTGCACCAAACAGCTATGTTTGGGGTAAATGACCTTCAGCTCTTGCCCATGATAAAATGCATATCACCTAACAACCAGTGTCTGGGGCAGTACCTGGTGGAAGCATTTTAGTTCCATGTCAACATTTTTCAGTTCCACCAAGCTCCAAGGTAACTGGGGACTGTGTGACACCTCCTCTGTCAGACATAACTCCGCAGACCAGTGGAGTTACATGGAGAAAAAGCAGCGTATGGGGAATAATTCAGTCCCACTGTCCTGCCAGCCACGGCTGTTTGACAGCAGAGGTACAATTCAACTACTAAGAGCATGCACGGGCAGTGGAGAGCCCCTCTTACACACATGCGACCAGCCATGGGCACTTATTTGCCTCAGTTGCAGGGTAGACGAAAGAGCAAGGAGACACAGTGAAGAGGACTCCACTCTCTTTCAGCCAGCTATGGCTTCCAGTTCTGTAATATTAGAGAAGCCTTAAAGCTCTGCTGGCTTAACATCACTGAAATCAAGCCAGGAGGCAGAAAAGAAGAGAATCGGGTCACATTCCTGTAATGGAAAGAAGCAAGTAAGTCATCTGGAAGACAGAACCCCCATCCCGGTTCCCTGGCGATTTCCCAGTAGAGGCCACAGCCACAGTGAGGTAGCTCCACACAAGCCAGGACACCTGCACAGCGTGGGGCAGAAGTGCCAGCTGGGGACCGAGGAGCAGTGTGGCTGCACCAGCTCGTCATCGTAGCCAGACTAACAAGCCTGCTAGGGCTGATTGCAGAGGCACGGCACCAGGCTGCAGCGGTTTTGGAGGCAGCCTTGCTATCTGCACGCAAGCGTTGCGCTGCGTACGCTGTCTCACAGTCAAAGGGCTCGAGCTCTCCCCTGCCTCCCCCAGCAGGCTACTAGCCATGTAGCATGGAGAGCCACCATGCCTGGGGACTTCCCTTCCCCTGCCCTGCTCCCCTAGGAGTGCAGGCGTCCCACAGGGAGAGATCCGGTCCTATCACTGGCATCCTGATCTGCAATTTCCATTGACTCACTTTTAGGCAGATGGGCCCTGCAGTAACCATCTGGAGGGCAAGCAGCACCCCTGGCACCCGGGAACACAACGAGCTTTCTGGGGGAGGAGGCTTGTTGCCGATTTTCTTTTTTTTTTCCTTCCACCCTAATTTCAATGTGGCATGGTGTGCTTTGTGCCTCTTTCTCCACTTCCAGCCAGCACTTCAGTTCCCAAAATTGCAGCTGCTGCAACAACGTTACAAAAACTGATATAAATATTGCCTCAGTGCCATGCCTGCTGGGGGCCTGCAACACAAATAAGAAATGCCGTCTCCCGAGGAAGTCATGTGCTTCCCCAAGTGGCTGCGGTGCTGTCAGAGCCGGGAGGAAAACTTTCCGTCAGAGGGAGGAAGGGAGCGAGCGGATGCAGCTGAACAGATCCCACTCCAGCCATTGCGCTCAAACAGCCAGCGGTTGCAGATATCTCCCTGCGCCCATGCACATCTCTCCGGGGCTTTCGGCAGAAGCCGATGATCACGCGGAAAGCAGGGAGGACAAAATTTTTGGCGGTAGCGGCAGGAGCAGGGCTTCGCATCCAGGGACAGTAATGTTCCGCAGGCTGTAATTTATTTATTTGGTGGGGAGTGATGTAAATTCGTGCTTATGACAGCTCCAGATGGCAGGTATTTTCTCATTACCTTGACTTCTTAGCATTTGCTCTCCCTTGCCTATTAGACTGCACTGGCCTTAATTTAACTTTCATGGTTCAAAACTACTGACGTCAGGGCTGATGCAGGAGCGGGCATGGAGAACACGAAGCCCTGGTTTTCCTGTAGGGCCTTATATTTAATGAATGACGCACTGGGATGACCGGTGAGAGAGCACTCTCTCTTCCTGATGCTGCTTCTGCACTGCACCCTGTGGGAAACCACGAGCCCATGCCCATGTCTCAGAGGCAGCCTTCAGATGCTGGTGGCCTTTGCCAAAGACCTTTGTAGTCACAGGCACCCTTCCCACTGCAATGGACTTCGGATTATGGCCTTTCCTTCCGATCCCCGCAGAGAAGCCCTTAAATGGCTGGAAAGCTTGCACCTTAAAGGGTTATCCAAAATGCAGTTTCCCGCTGTCGCCAGAGCCAGTGTTGCTCTGTTCCAAGTCCTCCCATGCCAGACAAGAGTTTGTGGGGAAAAAAATCACAGAAAACACAAGAGTCAGTAAAGCTTTACAGCCAGAGGAGAGGGCGTGCCAAGATCTGCCACAAGCAAACTGATCAACCAGGTGCTCACATAAATGGGTTGCTGTGCTGCATGCCAGCGGCTGGATGGGAGGGATATTTTGCCTACCACTACTGTAGCTACACCAAGCACTCCTTGGCAGCAGCTGAGCATTGTAAAGCTCTGCAATAGGGTGACTTCATTTCTTCTTTTTTTTAAATATTACCCTCATGCCATTTGCAGTCTAGATGGGTGTTCAGACATACTGGGATGTTATACTACAGCATGTGCACGAGTGTACCTGTGAGGACATCATCCTTACTCCCCATAAACCAGACTCTTTCAACTCTGATCCTCTATACATAATAATAAAACATTACCTCTTTCTTGTCTTCTCATAGCTTCACTCAGGAACTTGCACCCTTCCTTAGATGATCAAGTCTGTCTTCCCCCTCCCTCTGCATCAGCACTTGTCTCCCAGAAACTGACGTTCCTCTTCCTACGATGCCTTGCCACACCAAGGCTGCAGGCAGAGTAGAGAAGATTCTAGCAGAAAATATGAATAAAAAATGATATTTTTAAACAGAAGCAAATTTCAGAAATGTTCATTTGGTGGTTTTGTTTGCATATTTTGCTTTGGGTTTTTTAAAAAACAAAGCCAGCTAATATATCTCTCTGTGTGTAACAGCTCTGGCTACCACACACAGTGGAGTATATTTTGAGTTAATGCTGAAAATTCAGAAGGCCCGGCTCTGAAACATGGCATGTGTACACACGTCTGTATGTGTGAACGAGGGGCAGAGGCAGAGAGAGAGAAAATGGCAGCTCTTCAGATGGTGGAACATTTGGAGAAGGGGATAGAGGGCCAGTTTTTAAAAGATACTGTTGCAAATGTTTCTGTTGCAGGAAAAAAACCACATATATATATCTATTCGTACACACATTCTGCTAGGAAAATGCGGCTTAGGAAATTTAACTCTTCTCTGAAAAACTGTTGTTCCAAACTGCAAGTTTAAATTCAAACTGCAGAGCCATCTAAGCATCTACATCTGAGCTGGCCATCTTAGGCTCCCTTCATCCTCCACACAGATCTAGTCTAGGCAGTGATTCATCTCCTCCTACAGCAGACACGTAAATAGGTCAGATGAATCATGGCCTAAAAGTGCCTGTTCCCTGTATTGACTGCAAAGGGAGCTTGGGGTGACGGGTCCTACCATATGTGTCTATACTACC